ACCTGCATACTGGGGCTGGCTCCAAACTAAACCAAAGTGTCTTATCAACTTGGTTCTCACCCAACCGCAGACTTCTTAAAACTGCAGCTTACTTGAGAAATGTGGCTTTTCTGAACAGAAAACTGTTTCTGTGATTCCATCCCAGCAAAACCAGGGCAGGTGTGTGAAGGTCGGGATTTTCAGATTGTAAGCGTGTTCTTTAACTACTGCAAGTCAAGATGAAATTCCTCTGTTTCCACCCACTGATGAGTTTGTGGGCTTTCCTCCGAGTCTGCCATGGGAGCCCAGGAGCAAAGCCCCAGGCGACGTGCATCCTGCCTCTGCTGCTCCCCGCCTGTGCTGTCAGCTCTGCTCTGCAGCTGGAGTCCCATACGGAGCGGGAAGCTGTGCCTTGGCCTCTCGGTGTGCTGTCCCGCTCTTCGAAGCTTATCGGACAATCGGTGAACCTACTTGTGCGCTCACCTTCTGGTGGACGGTGTGAATTTAAGAAAACCCAGCGGTACCTTGTGGGTGGAAGAGGCAGCTGGAGGAGAGCGCTCAGCTCTCTGTCAGTAGCAACCATTTCTTTTCACAAGCAAAGAGGAAATGGTGGGTTTTTCCCTGGTGAGATTTAGTGTACAGGTTTTTGTCCAGGACACTAGTTCAGCATGACTTTCTAGAGTAACTTCTAGCTGAGCCGGTAATGTTTTGCTTTTCAGCTGCGATACAAGCCACAGAATGCATCTGATTTTAACTCTGCTGCTGTTGGAATTCAGGCCTCAATGGTAGTGCCAGTCTGCCTCAGACAAATGTTTTAAAGTGGTCTCTTTCCAAGTAATGTGCTTCAAGTATTGAAAGGCAGAACCAGCACTCTAGCTAACACAGAGCAGAAAACACTTCAGATTGTTTCAAGTGCTCAGGAAGTTATTTTGGATCTGCAAAATATCTCAGTACCTGTCTGCGTTATCAGAGTGGAAATCAGGACTATAAAGGCAATGCAAGAAATCTGAAGTTACTGTCTTCTGATTTGTGGCAGTTGCTGAAAGCCTTTTATTCAGTTTAAAATATTCCATCACTTCAGAAGCTGTATATACTGTTGTGGCAAGGAGTGATTTACTTATTTTGTTACAATTGCAGTGCTGCAAGGGTAAGCTATCAAATTTTCAATAGTTGTAATCTCTGCAGAGATGAGAAATATACTGGAAAAGATGTAATTAAGCCTGAATATCAAATACCCAAAAACAAGCAACGGAAGGGGCTTTAACATAGTAAGCAACAGAGGTGTGTAAAGCTATTGGATTTTGGTTCACTTGAGTTACTGTAAATTAGGAGCCAGTGCAGAAAGCAGAGTTAAAATTTGCCTGAAAGGCCATTTGATAAGTTGCCAGTTATTGGTGAAGAAGTCAAGAAACCTTCAGCAAAAAGACGGTTCCTCTTTTTAGAGCCCTTGACGAATGAAGTGCATGTTCTGTGTGCTTTGCTGAGGTGTTCGGTGCAGTATGTTTGTGTTTTAATCCTGACGAGGCATGCTTGTAATTTGAGTTGACTTTAGAAAGGAAAGAGAAATGTATTCTTGAAGTTTTTGAGAGGTGTATGTTTTTGTTCTACTGACACTGATGAAGAGGATTCAAGAAGAGGACCTACTCTCAAAGGCATATTGTCCGCCTTATTTCACTGATTTCACTGTGCTGTTTTCATCCTGATAAGGTTTCTGAATTTGGAATTACTTCCACTATATAACTGGGGAAAATTGAAAGATTTAAAAGTATAGTCTGTCAGAAAGTGTTGGTTTTAACTTGTTAAAAATGTGCTGTGCTCCGGCTTGCCTCACTGCTGTTAGGTGAAGTTACTGACAAGCAAAACGGAAGGTCCTGATTCTGTCTGAATGCTGAAGAGGATGTCACCCATAACCTGGCAGCTTCTTACATGTGACTTTAAACTCTGTACAGGACACATCCTGACTTTCTGGAAAACTCAATCTGTGGTTTAGTTTTGTTCTGTAGTTTGCTATAAAAATATTCCATGAACTTTTTGTAACTGGTGAACTAGAGCCTGGGGGTGCGGCTTCACAGTGTGTATTTACTAAAAGGTGGACTTTCAGAAAGACTGTACAAACCTGTGTCATTGGAGATCTTACCTTATCAGTGCAGTTATAATTTAACTTTCATAGGTTTGTTGTGATTAATGGTAAGCATCTCCTTTTGCTCTGAAATGTTTTTTCAGTTCCATTTCTGGGAGTATTTTGTGGTCAGGCAAGCTGCAAGTGAAGCAATTATCTAGATATTATTGTATTTTTGTATCAAAGGAAGCTGCTATTTAAGAATCTTCAACCATAGTGAAGGCTAAATTAAAATGCATAACTGTAAGTACTTTTGACAACCTGATTACTTTTTAATTGCCTCTTACTTTATTTAGGTTTTCTTGTGTTAAATGAAGGACTCTTAGAAAAACAGGTTGGTTTGGTTACTGCCCTGAGAGTCTCCGTTGCTACACTGAAAAGATTATGCAAGGTATTTATTGGGGGGTGGGAGGACCAGACGCAGTTGACTCATGGTTGTGTCAGCTGGTGCAGGACATCTCCTAACTCTGAATCTGCTGTGGTTTAGCCATGGAAGTTATTTGGCAAATACTGTGTATGCCTAGAACTGATCAGATCACTTTGTAGGAGTCTTGGTGGACAGCAAATGTGCTGATGGTATGTTTGCATAGGACCACAAGCGATAAAGCTTGTGTGGTTTCTGAGGTTTGGATCCCAGCAGGGTGTGGTAGCTGACCATGAGTGCTCCAGGCCATTGCAAATGAAGAGGAGACAGAGTTGGCTTAATAGCTTTGTGCATCTTTCCAGGCTGACCGAAAGAGTGAATCTGGACTTTTATTCTGCCTTTCTTAGGGGCAGGTTATTTAGAAATTATTTAAAGCGTTTATGATCATATGCCCATAGTCTTTTGTATGTATATGTGTGTTTTTCTTGCTGTTGAATCTCCTGAGAATGTGTCAGAGAGAGCTGAGTCCATCTTTGAATACCAGCTACTATACTAGCTGAATTACCATCTTTGACGTGACTCTGAACTTGCCTTCTGTAGCGGCTGAGGTGCTGACCTTCCATGTTACACCTCTGAGCTTTAGCATAGGGATAAAACCTTTTTAGAACACAACGATGATGTTGGACAGGGTGGTTTGTTGTAAAGTGACCAACCATCTTCCATAATAATTTTTTCTGTGAAGTGTGTAAAAACTCGAATATAAGTACTTCACTTTCCGTACCTCCCTTTGCTGCTGATACTCCTGTAGTGCTCACAAGTGAGCAGTTGCTGTGGAACTGATAACAATTTATGTTAACTTTTTCCATGTGATAGGAGCCAGTGCACAATATGACTACCTAGCTCTCTGTAGACCTCAGGCTTGTTGGAGAACTCGAGAATCCTGTGTGACTCTTTTATGGTTCTGATTCATGCTGAATCAGAGCAGCCGTATCTGGGGAGAGCTCAGAAATTAAGTTGCCTTCTTTTCCTGTCAGGTCGTAAAGCCAAGCCCAGCTCTGGTTAACAAATGTCAGAATTAAGGCTGCCTGTCACCCTTGGTTGTGGCCTCCTCCAATGTGTATGTGATGATGTAACTTTTAATTACATGATCACTTAATTTTTCTCACACATGATTTGTGCCTCACTTGGTGAACAGGATGTGCGATGCTCAGAGGATGGGTAAACGGACAGTATTTTTGGTTTCCTTCTTTGGTGTGTGGTCTGTGTCTCCCTACCATAAAGCTCATTCCTCCTAGGTTACTTGTTTTGGTCTAAGTAAATACCAGTAAATTATCTTTGCACCACTGATAAATAAGAAGTGATATTATCAAGTACTGAAGTACAGAGACTGAGATGATGCTTGTTAAGCATTGTGATGTTGTGGTCCAGAAGAAAGAGTATTTTTTGGCAACACGACGCATTTGAGACACATCTGCTGGCTTCATCTTATTGCCTCTGTGAGCGGGGAGAGGCTCAGGTTAAGGTTTCTAATAATAGTTGTGGACCATTTCCTTTGCGGCGTCACCTGCGCTGTGGAAGAGCTGCTGTGTCAGACTGAAGGGTGGAGTTCACCCTCCGGAAGGACCTTTTGTTTGTCCTGCTGCCCTGGCCGTTTCTTTCCCGGGTGCCAGCAGGCAGGGCTGAAGCCCAGACAGCAGCTCTGAGCATCGCACAGCCGTGAGTCATTCCCCATCACCAGCTCTCCTGTGCATCCGCTGCAGGAAAAATAATGGCATAGGTAGCGTGTGTGTAAGTAAAGGTGGCACGTTGTCCTTCAACTCACGCTCCATCTGTTCATCTGCTTCTCTTGTCCTCCAGCTCTCTTATCCCCTGCATTGGAGCAATGCTGATCTCTTCTCTGCCTCTCCTAACTACAGCATGGAGATCATTGGGAATATAATTAAAAAGGGGTGGCTAATCTGTCATGATTCAGGTGCGAACTGCATACTTGAACCTTCATATGCCGAGGTACACAAGATACATCCTTCATACTTTTAAGACTTACTTACTGGGAGGGGAAACGCTGGCGTTTTCCACGCAGGGGAGGTGACACAGTGGTCCCCAAGAGTGGTCCTGTTACCATCGAGGGTTTGTTTGGAGCTCAGTAAATCTTATGGCGATGGCTTCACCAGCCCCAACTGACTCTTCTACTTTTGCAGTCAAAGATTTGTACTACTCAGCAGCCACAGTAACAGTACGATCTCACTGGGAGTTGAAGGTGTAGATTTGGCCTGGAGTTACAAGTCGTGCTCAGGAGCCCCGTGTGTGTGGTTTGGTATGGCCACTGCAGGTCTGGCATCTTCTGACACTGCTTTTCTAATTCTGGGTTTCTCTTCATACTGTTGCTACAGCTGTGTTGTTGAATCATGTTTCCCCCAAATATTCTTGAACATGATTATGTTCGATGTGTATCAAACTGGCCAACAAGCTAATTTCTGTAGTAATTTGCTTTTTTGGTTTCTTTTTTGCTTGCTTTGTAGTGAATGAAATTTGGGCAACTCTAATTCTGTGGCAGAATCATCACTGATGTTTAGTTTCTTTAGGTCATTAATATATTTAAAAGGGATTTTAAAGCTACCAGAGTGATTCAATTTTAAGCATTGCTGCCTTTCACAATACCTTAGATTCTCTGTATTTTCCACATTCCCAAGCAGCTACAGAGATGATTTTCAAAGCCCTTTCTGATGTCCTCAGGGTTCAGTGCCTTGGCTGTGCTGGAAACACTGGCTTCTGACTAAGAAGTTTGCTGGGTTCACTTTATACACTGGAAAGCTGATTTCCTGTTCTCTTTCTGCTGTACTAAATAAGTGACAGTGAAGGAGGGAATTAATTATGATTTTTCTGTTATTACATGCTGGTGAATAGTTAACTTCGTACAATTGGAGGGGAAAAAACTCCAAACTGAATCCAACCTTTTTGTATGTCAGGTGAAAATAACTCTATTAAATACATCCTGGCAATAATTTTGCTGCCATTGTAGAGACATGCTTCACACAGGTACCTGGAAGGATGTGGTGGGTTGAGCCTGTTTAGATGCCAAGCGCCCACCAAAGCCGCTCCATCACTACCCTCCTCAGCTGGGCAGGGGAGAGAAAATACAAGGATCGAGATAAGGGCAGGGAGAGATCACTCACCAAGTACCGTCACGGGCAAAACAGACTCGACTTGGGGAAAATTAATTCAGTTTATTACAAATCAAATCAGAGTAGGGTAATGAGAAAATAAAAACTAAATCTTAAAACATCTCCCCCACCCCTCCCTTCTCTCTTCCTGGCTCTACCTGCTCCCCCAGCAGCACAGAGGGATGGGGACTGGGGGCTGTGGTCAGTTCATCACATGTCGTCTCGGCCACTCCACTCCTTTCTCCTCAGGGGAAGGACTCCTCATGCTCTTCCCCTGCTCCAGTGTGGGGTTCCTCCCATGGGAGACAGTTCTCTGCAAGCTTCTCCAGTGTGAACCCTTCCCATGGGCTGCAATTCTTCACAAACTGCTCCAGCGTGGGTCCTTTCCGTGGAGCACAGTCCTTCAGGAGCAGACTGCTCCAGCGTGGGTCACAGCAAACCTGCTCCAGCGTGGGCTCCTCTCTCCATGGGTCCACAGGTCCTGCCAGGAGCCTGCTCCAGCGCAGGCTTCCCATGGGGTCACAGGCTCCTTCGGGGTCCTCCATGGGCTGCAAGTGGATCTCTGCTCCACCATGGACCTCCATGGGCTGCAGGAGCACATCCTGCCTCACCATGGTCTTCACCATGGGCTGCAGGGAAATCTCTACTCTGGTGCCTGGAGCACCTCCTCCCCCTCCTTTTCCACTGACCTTGGTGTTTGCAGAGTTGTTTCTCTCTGATATTCTCGCTCCTTTCCGCTACTGTTTTCCTTTCTTAAACTTGTTATTCCAGAGGTGCAACCACCATCACTGCTGGGCTTGGCCTCGGCTGGTGGTGGGTCTGTCCTGGCACCGGCTGGCATTGGCTCTATTGGACCTAGGCGAAGCTTCCAGCAGCTTCTCACAGGAGCCACTCCTGTAGCCCCCCCACTACCAAAACCTTGCCACGCAAACACAACGCAGAGAAGTGGTGGCATAGAGGGTGCCCTAGAGTGCATTTGTGTTTTGTGATGACTGAGGTACGGATGCTTTGAAGAAGAATGAGAATTAAGTCCCCTGTGGCCTGGGTTCAAGATCCTCTTTCTCCACTGACTTAGTGTGTGACCTTGCATGTGTCACCTAGGCTCTCTATGCCATTGTTTTCCATTCATGTAATGATGATAAGAAAATGTCCCTGTTTTGCCATGTGTTTTGAGGATAAATGTGCCAGCAATTAACAAGTGCTGAAATTCCTTGGTGGTAGAGGTCATAAGTACAAAGGATGCTATTGCTGCTGACAAAGCCCACTTAAATTAACTTCAGATTAACCTGCTAATGTTATGAAAGAGTTTTATTTGCTCTGAATGGTATTTTTAAAAGCTCTCAGTGAGTTGAGTGATGCCAAGCCTCTCATGGTGTCATTTTGTGGAATCTTCTAAATTTTTATACTATAAATCATACAGACAAGTGCTAATTAGAGCTCCACAATACTGTGTGTATCTCTGAATGGACAGAGGTTTCCTTTCGTTTTACTGCCTGCTCTAATGCCTGTCAGCCTTCTAGCATGCTTAATTGTGGATGCTTTGATTTTGCTTGTAAAATACAAGCTAAATATGGGGTTAACTTTTTCATAGTGTTGAAATATTGTCATTCAAAAAATAGTGATATTTTTGTGTTTTTACCCAGAATGTTTTCTGTGGAATGACCAAAAGTATCAGTGAAATTATTCTAGCTTTATTTCTTTACTAGATTTCTCAACTCAAAATATTTTTCTGATTGTTTTCAGGAGTAAAAGTTCCTCGTAATTTTCGTCTGTTGGAAGAACTTGAAGAAGGTCAGAAAGGAGTGGGTGATGGAACGGTTAGCTGGGGCCTTGAAGATGATGAAGATATGACACTTACAAGATGGACAGGAATGATTATTGGGCCTCCAAGAGTAAGTATCCATTTAAATATTAAAATAGTACTGTTACTTTTTTTCTTCCCCCTTTTCTTCTTTTAATCTAATCACTGAGGTAGAAAACAAACAAAACACAAAGGAGTGAAAATCACTTTAGCAAGTGATTTATGTTGAAGGTTCAAGTTCCGTATAATAATGGGTTTCATGTATCTATATGGCTTTGCTTATAATTTGGAATATTTTTTTAGTGGTTTTCTCTGGTTAGTTCTGTTACATGTCTGCTTTATATTTACAGATTCATTAAGACATAACTTTTGAGATTCCAGGATTCTAGTATCCTGTACTCTTGAATACAGCAAGGTTAAAATCCTTCGGCTAGTGAGATTACATGTGGAGCTCATGTAGGTAAAATGTGGATGTTTTGTTCAGTACTGCTAGTCTTTCTGCTGTTACTTGTTGAGTTTATGGGTTGGTTTTTGTTGCAGCAGCACTGACTTGCTCTTGCAGAGTTTCAGCTAACTCGGGAAACTCAAGTTCTAATGCGTTCAATTTCTTCTCTGAGCATTCTCTCCCAAAGTAGCTTCTTACAATGCTACTACTGGTCTTTGTGGTAGTATTGTTGTATTTTCTCTCTTCTTCTCCCAGACCCTACTAAACTGTGGATCTCCACTCTGGTAGTGAGCTTGAGGACTTAATTGTGCATTGTATGTTTGCAAGCATTCTGAAACCAAAATTTGTCTATTGTCTCCAGTTTGACTGTGCACCTCTGTTCTGTTTCCTTAAAACCCCTACCACGAAGTGTCAAGTAGCTCATTTTCCTTCCTGCAATAGTAGATGTTGCCTTCTATGTCTGACCTCAATATTGCTCCTCAGTAATTTCAGTGTTCTCAATCTATTGTATGGAAACCTTTACAGACCTTTAATCATGATACTGCCTTGGGTGTTTCTGTTCTGTCAGTTGTCTTTTCTGACGTATGATGAGGTTGTACAAAAATTTATATTATAATGGCATTACACATGCAGTATTTTCTATCTATTCCAGAAGTAGTGTTTACTTTTGTCTGTCATTAACATCTCCCCATTGGTGATCGTTTTGTTTATGATATGCCCAAATCATTTTCTAGAACAGCATTTGATTTTAGAACATTAGGAGAGTGTTAATGAGTCTGCTTTAAGACAATGAAGAAAGCACACTGTGTGCATACAGTTTATGGAAAATTTAAGCAATGTTGAAATCTGATTTAGAAAATTAAATAGAAACTGAAAGGTGCACAGAGTCATGTGTTGACTTGTCAGCAGTGATAGAAATTTGTGGTTCATGTCATGCTGCTAACCAAGGCTAGAAGACTGTCACAGAAGATGATCTGGCTGTGCCTCTTTTGTCTTTCTGATACACTTATGAATATAGATTTTTTTTCTGAAAGTGTCTTGACTTCTTTTGAGCTTATTGCTTGAAAGCAACAGTCTGTATTGAGAGGGATTCTGGGAACTCTCAGTCATTCTCGTTTAAGTGACTCTCCTGCTTTTAGCATTGTTCATACTCAGTTACGTTATTGCCATTTTTTTTCTTAATAAGATATGGGAATACTGGCTCTGAAAAAAAAGAATTTAAATCCCGTTTCCTTCTGGGTAGAAAGCAGTTATGCTTGTAGCAGGTGGAATAATCTTATGTTGGGTGTCCCGGAAGGAAAAATGAATTGTGATGCAGTTAGATCCGTGCTGCTGGTCTGAGTGTCCCTGCTACCATACATGGAAGCATGCTTCTTCCCAGACTTTGTGTGGATGGTTTCTCAGCCAGTGATTCATCTTGTTTATACAAGCTATTTAAAAACAGTGGCACTGTCAAAACTTCAGCTTCATCTGCACGTATTTTATATTGGCTATAGATGTGTGCACGGTCAAGGCTTTCTGTTCACTGGTCTTAATTTGATGCAGTGATTTGCAAAGACCTTAAAAACCTGCACAAACATCTGGGCTGTTCATGGCTCTGTGCACAAGACACGCTCAGAGGCTCGCTCAGGAGGCCTGGGCAGGCTGAGCAGAGCTGACGGATGACACTTTTTCCCCAAAACTTTGTGATAGTATTCAGTTTGTCACTGCCCTGGCTGGGCATCTGAAAGGCTGTCTGGCTGAGGTGCTGGAGGAGTGACCAAGAGGTACCACTGCCAGCCAGCACTGACTGGGTGCTGGTCCCACCAGGGGTGGCTGGCTGCAGGCTGGTTTGAAGCCACTTTTTTTGCACAGATGAGAAGCAGCTGAATCAGGAAGTCATTTCTCATATTTTTGGTAGTGGTTTGCATCAAAACACTCAATATTAGGGGAAATATTAAGATATTCAGAGGCATAGCAAGCCCTTGAAGAGAGTTGCACGGAGTTTTATATTGAGAAGTTTTTGTACATTAGACAGCTGTTCTTAAGATCCTGGTGGAGCCATTGTGCTCTGCTGTCACAGGTGAGCAGGAGCTGCTCTCACACTTTCACCTGGATTTTTGCTTGTGGTTGCTGCCTTTTGAGTTTAATGCTCATTGCAGTGTTGAGGGTGCAGGAAATTGTGTCGGAAGCTCTAAATCTGGAGAGCTTGTCTGCCTAAACTTCCCCGTAATGGTCCTGTTCCTGTTGTATAATTCTGCCAGCTGCCTGCATTGCCCAGCTTAGCTGGAGCTCTGTGCCAGGCTGCAGCAGATCGACACATCAAAAATAGTTATTCTCAAAATGCAGAACAACATTAACTGTTGTTTCTTTTAATTCATTTTAAATATTGAAGAGTCAATATAGCCTTGTTACATTTGTCTCTCTTCTGTACCCGTTGATTGGTTGGCTGAAAACTATCATAGGCTGCCCAGGGAGGTGGTTGAGTCCCCATCCCTGGATGTGTTTAAGAATAGGGTGGATGATCTACTTGAGGTTATGGTTTAATGGGGATTAGGGATGGTTGGACTCGATGATCTCTAAGGTCTTTTCCAACCTAGAAATCTATGAATCTATGAATCTATGATCCAGGATTTCTCTCCATTAGCTGTTAAGTATAGCAGTGTTACTGTGGTAGAGATGAAGTGATAATGCTGTTTGGGATCGGGATGTGCTTTGCAATGTGTTGAATCTTGGAGCCTTCCCCTTTCTGAGAACTGGCACGTGGGTTTATGACCAAAGAATATTTCAAGTGCAGTTCTAGGACACGCTGACTTTAGACAGTTGCCTCAGCTAAAGCTGTGGCTTCAATTTCAGGGTAGTATATCTGATTAGTAAACTGATAAAAAACAAAGCAGCTTTATAAAGATTGGTTGGAAAACAGGTGTCTGAGCTATATGGTGACTGAAAAAATCGTTTCAGTTGGTGAATGGGAAGCAATGCCAATTTCATTCCTTGTGTGAAAATCTGATGCTTGAAAGACCAGTAGAATTTCTTACCCTGAAGAGGTAACGTTTGCTACTCTGAATATTATAAAATGAACCCAAAACAGAGATAGCCAGCATGCTAGAAAAGTGGCTGCCTTAGTAGTTCTTCTGTCCCCAAAGTAACCACTGTTTTAAACAAATGCTTATTGAATTGTGTGATGTAATTGTTCCCCCCTTTCTTTTCCCCTCAGACAATTTATGAAAACAGAATATACAGCCTTAAAATAGAATGTGGGCCTAAGTATCCAGAAGCACCTCCATTTGTAAGATTTGTAACAAAAATTAATATGAATGGAGTAAATAGTTCTAATGGAGTGGTAAGTTTTTGGTTTTTTATTCCTTTTAACGTTTTTTTGTTTGTTTGTTCAGCTTTGAATTAACGCTTAGTTTATACTTGCAACTTGCTTAACTACCTATTGCTTGCTGGTGCCATGTTCTTTGAGTAGAAGCAGAGGGGGGTAGAAGGGAAGTATGCGAGCCAAGTATGTTCTGAAATCATAACCTGGAATTTACTTTTCCTGCCCTTTTGCAACTCGGAAGTAGTTGCATCATGCAGGGATTTGTTATGCTCTTAGGAAACCACTTTCTTTTGCTTTCTTTGTTTTCTAGCACTCAGATTCCTTATAGGATCTTTAGTTGGAGGGCATGGGGGGAGTTAAGTGTATCAAACATATCGGTTCTGACAGGAATGATGTTTTTGTCTATTTTAGGTGGACCCCAGAGCCATATCAGTCCTAGCAAAGTGGCAGAATTCTTATAGTATCAAAGTTGTTCTGCAAGAGCTTCGGCGTCTAATGATGTCTAAAGAAAATATGAAACTTCCTCAGCCACCTGAAGGACAATGTTACAGCAATTAATTAAAAAAAAAAAACCACAAAACAAACATGCCCCCCTTATTCAATTTAAGCTGTCTTCATTTTCCACAGTAGTAAATTTTCTAGATGCATCTTGTAGACCTCAAAATACTGGAAAGGAAGTTCCCATTCAAAGGAGGTTTTTCTTGAGATACTGTAAATGATACTAATTTTTTTCATTTGAAATATAAGTTGTGCTATAACAAATAATCCTGTTGTGTAACCACTGTCCACATAGCTGAACTTCTGGTATCAGGAAAAGTCTATTTAAATTTATTACTGTCAAGACCAGTGTGGCACATCTAACTTAACTGTGAAAGCATACATCCCACAATCACCTTGCTGTGTGTCTGGCCTGTTTTTTGTTGTGGTTTTTTTTTTTTTTTTTTTCTTTTTCTGTCTTTTGCAATAGAGTCGAAGCTCAGGGCTATTTATTAGAGTAGACACAAAGGTTTTTGCTTCCAGTACTACACTGGGCTTTATGGACTACTAACGGGGGTGCGTGCTAACCTCAGTCATCCCTCCCTTTGTGCTATCTCTAGTAAAGGCTGAATGTGACTGTGGTCGTTTTTGGTTTTTTATTATTTTTTTTTAAACGCCCTGATAATCTGGGGCAAGCTTTCCTTCTTCCCTTTGGCCAAGGCATAGATTGTATTTCTCTTTCTGGACCCCCTCACCAGTGACATGGGCTTTGGATGAGGGATCCAGGGTTCTTTTAATCTCTTCCCTCCTCCCCTCTTTTTAGTGGGGGTGCTGCTTTCTTTTTGCCCCTCTTGGTGACTCTTCTCACCCTGACCAGCAGGAGTGAGTGCTGGGGCAATAACTTGACCTGTTCCCTTCGGCTTGTCCTTTTGGTTTTGCAACAAATTTAGTCTTCACCAGCCTGGGAACAAGAGTATCTGTTCTGCTCGCAAACTTGGATTTTCCCTGTCCCTCCAGCACTGCTGCCACACCGCCAAGCTGGCCACGGCTGATGTTGTTAGATAGGCTTTTGACGTGGTGAAAAGAGCAGTAATTTACCAGGATTGCCGAAATCTTCTGCTGCCAAACTTTAATGGAGAGACTCTGTACGTAGAGATTCTAAACACACACTCCAGCTCAAATAGTTGTATTTTGGTGCTTTGGATTGACCCAAGAATGTTAATTAACGAAATCTTGCACTTATGTTTGGCCCTTCTAAAGATGTGACAACTACAGACAAATCAAATCAATGTAGTAGATTTTGTTAGAATTATGTAAGTCTTGGAAGAGAAATCTCTTCAGTGGAGATTTTGGGGAAGTGGTGCATACAGCAGATGGAGGACCTTAATTGGCTTTGCATCCTGGCAAATCACTGCCTTTTCTGGTTTACTGTTTTGGACCACTGACTGCTGAAATGTGGATGCAAGCTTACATACAACCAACCTAGTGTGTCCTAAGTTTTATGACAAATTCAGTGTTTGTGTAAAAAAAGAAAAAAAAAACAAAAAGGAAAAAAAAAGAAAAAAGTAAAAATAAACACAATTTAAAGCAGCAGCTATCAAGTCAATGAACAATTGATGTTTCCATTAACTCTTTTGAGACAAATATTAGTTGTAAGGATTTAACATCCTCTGTAATTAAAGTTTAACATAACAGTATTCCATAAGCAGCCTTTTTATTGTATCAGACCATTGCCTGATTTTAATATAATAAAAAGTGTGCATTAATATTAGAAGGCTTTAATTGTATTTATGTTTAGAATTTTGATCCCTTATGGAATTCTTGATTTGTTGGAAGTATCTTTCTACAAATCATGTTTAGCTAACAGTATGTAAACTGGTGGCGAAAGGCAATTGTCTTTATCCAGCTGCTGCTGCTGTGCCAAGGAGAATCTTTAGTTTTAGCTGAAACCTCAGACTCACATAGACTTGCAGTTGGTAACATTGCGTGATGCTGAGGAACTGCTGAAACGGATTTCGAGATACATGTGCTGTCTGAAGGTGCTCTGTCATTGAAATGACCTTTGTTTGCTGTAGTCCTGAGGAAGCCAAATCCCCATACGGTTGCATGTTAACGCTGTCTGTCAAGTTCAAGGAGAACTTCACAACCGGAATTTTACCTGTTTTCCCTCAAACAGTGAAGTGTAAAACCCTGACCTTCTCTCCAAATCTGGATAAAAACGGGGCTCTGAAATTTTGGCCCTTTTTGAGTGTAAAGCATCTCCAGAGGATTGCCAGAAGGTACTCGTGCATTCGCTTCAGCGTTGTGGTGAAACAAAGGTTCTTCCTGGGTTAGGAATGAAAAAGGGAATGACATTTTGTGAAACTTTGTGAAACTTGCTGCTGGCTTCTAGCCTGGAATACTGCTCAGTCCTTTGGTAGCTCG